CTGTATTGAGCATGTATATGCTGGCTGTAATATGGCTAAGTTACGGTAAAAACATAAGGTCACAACCACAGAAAAAAAGTTCTGTAAAACTGTGAGAACTTTGAAGTTACTAGTAAATGCTTCTCTAAAGTCTTTGGCTCCAATCATAATGCCCAACTGTACGAGCAATATCTCAGCTGCAACTGACGTATTGAAGAACCAATTTTGCTGTCACCGTTTGCCTGGAGAAAAAAATATATAGAAAAAGATTTATATCCACCTTTCACTCCTAATGCTTTATAACCCTTAACTAACTTTATAAACATGAGTGCTTGGATTCTGCAGTTAAAGTTGTCTATGAGGCAGCCAGTCTTGTGCCAACCCTCACCTGTAGCCTCTGATGCCATGCATGGTGTGTTAAAGTGTTACTATTTTCTGCTTCCTACACAAGCCCGGGTAAGTAATATATGTGAGTAAAGGACCCTTTTCCACTCCTTTGATGCATATTGGGTATATAGGGCTAGACCTAGATTTTATAGACCAAATGGCACTTGGTGGGTGATGTGGTCAGCATCATGCCGGCTGCCTTTACTTCCCAGCACTATACCTGGTACCCACTCAAGGCTGGGGTGACCTAAGAGCCAAGGTCATTTCTGAAAAAAATCTGGCCCTCTAACTCAACCCATGACCTTCCAATCCGGAGGCCGAGTGTCTAGCCGCTAGACCACGGCGACTCCCTAAGTAATATATGGTTTAATTCTTTTAGCTGCAGACAAGTGGCATTAAAAGAAACAATTTCTTTGTCTACGGCTGTCAACCATCAATCAAAGTCAGTGAGCCCTGGTTGAATGTTGAGCTAACAAATGACACCACAGCACTCAGGGCATTTCCATACACACCTTGTCCTCATCTTCAGTAGCCAGTGAAGAGTTCCAATTCCAACGGTGCCAGAAGCAGTCTGATTATATGTCTGTCTTTGCTCAGAGTCCACAGTGTCGACTAGATCCCCTGGTTGCTACTAACTGTACCATTTTCTCCTCAGAGTCTACAGTGTCGACTAGATCCCCTGGTTGCTACTAGCTGTACCATTTTCTCCTCAGAGTCTACAGTGTTGACTAGATCCCCTAGTAACTCCTAGCTGTACCATTTTCTCCTCAGAGTCTACAGTGTTGACTAGATCCCCTGGTCACTACTAGCTGTACCATTCTCTCCTCAGAGTCTACAGTGTTGACTAGATCCCCTAGTCACTCCTAGCTGCACCATCCTCTCCTCTGAGTCTACAGTGTTGACTAGATCCCCTAGTCACTCCTAGCTGTACCATTCTCTCCTCAGAGTCTACAGTGTTGACTAGATCCCCTAGTCACTCCTAGCTGCACCATCCTCTCCTCTGAGTCTACAGTGTTGACTAGATCCCCTAGTCACTCCTAGCTGCACCATCCTCTCCTCTGAGTCTACAGTGTTGACTAGATCCCCTAGTCACTCCTAGCTGTACCATTCTCTCCTCAGAGTCTACAGTGTTGACTAGATCCCCTAGTCACTCCTAGCTGTACCATTCTCTCCTCAGAGTCTACAGTGTTGACTAGATCCCCTAGTCACTCCTAGCTGTACCATTCTCTCCTCTGAGTCCACAGTGTCGACTAGATCCCCTAGTCACTACTAGCTGTACCATTCTCTCCTCAGAGTCTACAGTGTCGACTAGATCCCCTAGTCACTACTAGCTGTACCATTCTCTCCAGACCATAATGATCTATTCATGCCTCCGCATTGTTCATTCGCTCACAAGGGGACCATTTTTAACTTGCCATGCACAAATTTCCCACCTGTTGAAGCAGAACCAGCCAATCTTTCGGCCTGTTCATTTCTCAACACTCATTGAGACCTGAGAAAATATCTAAAGGATGCCAACTTCTAATTATCCAATGTTTTATACCACAAGTGTAGGCCTTTATGTACAATTATTGTTCATAGTTGCTCACATTCTAGTTTTTCCCTTGCAAACAATAAACATGTGATCTATGAATGACACAGAGGAGAACTGTATCATGAGGGAAATGCACGGACACTCTCTGTAGGCAGTAGTATTTCATTACCCTTGAGTGGTGTTTGTATCAGCTTATTTGTTTTTACCTATAACATGCCTGCCAGCCAGCCAGCCCAGCCCAGCAGAGAGAGAGAGAGAGAGAGAGAGAGAGAGAGAGAGAGAGAGAGAGAGAGAGAGAGAGAGAGAGAGAGAGAGAGAGAGAGAGAGAGAGAGAGAGAGAGAGAGAGAGAGCAGACACTGAGGCTGAAGTATGAGAAGAGAAATCTTGGAAGATTGCTGCGTAAGTAGTCCAGGATGGACATACATTTATTTTAAAACAGCAGACTTTTCTCATGACTGGTACTGAAGCACACAACTTCCAAGTGCACCGTCTTCTTCTTCACTTTCTGTTTTATTGCTTCAAAAGTTGAGTGAGATATAAGGTTCTAGTTAATGCACTTCTGGCTGCCCAGACCACCGACACATCATACTGTTGCAGACTTCCCCTCTAGTGTGCTTAGTATTTGAAAGGAATTCTCTCTAAGTTGACAAATAATTTTATTTGACATGATACCAGCATCAGATCTGCCTCTCCACATGCAGAAAACAGCAGAGGGTGCATGACCAGTACTTGAGCTTTACATCCCCCAAGTGGCACATGAGGATGTAAGCAGATTATGATTCGTAACAGGACATACAGATCAGTTTGGATTAAACCTGTTGTGTTTCTCCCACACAGAGCAACTGGGGTCAGGCCTGGGCTGTGTACCTCCCACACAGAGCAACTGGGGTCAGGCCTGGGCTGTGGTAGTGTTTCTCCCACACAGAGCAGCTGGGGTCAGGCCTGGGCTGTGGTAGTGTTTCTCCCACACAGAGCAGCTGGGGTCAGCCTGGGCCGTGGTAGTGTTTCTCCCGCACATAGTAGCTGGGGTGAGGGCTGGGCTGTGGTAGTGTTTCTCCCACACAGAGAAGCTGGGGTCAGGCCTGGGCTGTGGTAGTGTTTCTCCCACACAGAGAAGCTGGGGTCAGGCCTGGGCTGTGGTAGTGTTTCTCCCACACAGAGAAGCTGGGGTCAGGCCTGGGCTGTGGTAGTGTTTCTCCCACACAGAGAAGCTGGAGAGAAGCTGGTAGGGTCAGCTGGGGGTCAGGGCTGGACTGTGGTAGTGTTTCTCCCACACAGAGCAGCTGGGGTCAGGCCTGGGCTGTGGTAGTGTGTTTCTCCCACACAGAGAGCTGGGGTCAGGCCTGGGCTGTAGTGTCAGGGGTCCTGGGCTGTGGTAGTGTTTCTCCCACACAGAGAAGCTGGGGTCAGGCCTGGGCTGTGGTAGTGTTTCTCCCACACAGAGAAGCTGGGGTCAGGGCTGGGCTGTGGTAGTGTTTCTCCCACACAGTACATACAAACTGGCTAGGGTTACATCAAGGTTGGTCATGTTTCCCTCAAAAGCATTTCACTGACAATTGACTTTAACCCAACGTGCAGACATCCAATTCAGTTTTACCTGATATCTTTGACTTACAGCCCTTGCTTCTCACCTCTTTTTCTGGTCAGTATTTATTTTCAATGGCCTTGGCCATACACTCATCAGACATTCTACTGGCCAGACAGAAATGTGATTTCTATGAGAGATACTTAAGTTATGTGATTTTGTGCATTCTTATTTGTATGTGTTGTGGTGCCGATTTATAAAATGTCCTGAGGAAGACTATCTAGCCATAAAGTTTCCTTGTTCTTTGTGTTTGTGTTACTGGGAAGCCGACTGTTTCTACTTTTCACCTGGTCCACACCGTTATAATGTCCAGATAGAAAACAAAAAAAATACTGCAGCTTATGATACAAACGTTATCTCTACCTGACTGGTTTCCTGCATCACCACCGTTTCCTGCAGCGAGGAGACAAAAAAAAGATATGACAATTAAGTGAATCAGTTTCTTGCGTTTGCTGTCTCAGTCACTGACAGCATTTACATCAGAAAGGTTTCCTAATGGAGCAATGATAGGCAATACAAGACTCTTAATGTATGTTAGCATCTCTTGCTGAAGCCCACCTCACCTTCTCGCAGTGGGCCCTCTTCTCCCCAGTCCAGTTAAATGCTGGGGTTGCAACTCCCAGCCGTGAACTGGGATACCAAACGAGGTTCCATCTGGCGGCTACTGATTGAAGCACAAGGTGTGACACTGTGAGCTGTGAATTTCAAGGAGAATGCTTCCTGTCTGTCCTCCCTGAGATGTGTGTTGTAAACTGCACCTATTCAGAGAATGGTGAACGGCTGGCTGCCACAGAATTAGTGGTGCACTTTATACAGCAATGTGTGTGCACCTGCTGCTATCATCAAATATGAATAGCAATTCTAGACAAGGAGAGTCGGTGTTGGAACCTCTGGCAAGCTACCTTTGAAGCATGTGCGAGCTGGGATTACCTTCTGATCATCAAAAAGGGACAGTGGTGAGCACTTTCTGTAGATTCCAGCAAACTCTTCACTAGTGTTCTTTTAAAACATGCTGGTAATGCTTGTATGGGCAGTGGGTCTAACACATTCACCCCCCCCCCTCTCCCCCCCAAAAATGGGGCCCTAGAACCCAAAAGGCAACTCAATTGTCTACTCACGACCACAAAATCTTGAAAATGAAGATCCCTACCTGTCAGACATAATTAACAGATCATTAAGAGGCCCTCATATCATAGAAAGATCATGAATACAGTACACTGGGCAATGAGGCCCGCAGGCCGTCAGTTGAATAGCCGTCCTATAGAATACGTGGAAGGTTATACAGTGTGGTTTATTCTTCAGTTACAGATCGCTGCGTCGGGTGAAAATGGGACATCTCATTAATATTTTTTTGTCTGAAAACGAGACATCCCAAACAAGACAAACAGATAACTTGGCACTTGGCAGTGAAGTTCAAGTGTGTAGACATTATACATGACATATATAATACACAATAAATGGTGAAAAAACTTTATAAAACAGTGAAATAAAGCATTCGTAAACATTTACATATATTAAAAATGATGAAGTTCTGAACACTTACCATACATCCTGGAAGCATCTGATCCGCCACAGTTTAAAGCCAAGGCAAGATTTTTCAAAGCCTGGTCCTCCATTGCTTCCTGGTGCCAGATCTGGGACTTGATCTGCTCGTAAAGGGACAGGGCTGCATTACCTGGAGGAGACACAGGCGACTTCTGCGGCGATGGGGTGTTGCTTCTCGACATCGATGGGGAGGAACTGATATCTAACAGAACTATTGGAGGTGATACTGGTCCAGCAGCGGGCTTATCAGAAAACCCCAGTAAATTTGCCGGAGGCGAATGCTGCCTGATGCCTCCTGTAGGCTGACTCTGGGCACTCATGTTAGGAATATTTGCATTTCCTCTAGAGTTCGACTGCGAACCTAAAAGTAAACCAGTAGATGGTTTTATATGCTGATTTTGTTGATTCAACTTTAGCCCTGAATTGGCAGAAGTGTTCTGCGTTGGAATACAGGAAGTACCTCCCATAATTCCTGATTTGGAATGTGGGCTGGGAGGCTGACTGTTTTTGTGTGGACCAGTAGGTTGATGTACAACAGTTTTAGTCTGAGAGTCAAGTCTGGAAGACACAGAGTTCTGTGATGAAGTTACCAGTTTTTTTGCTTGAGGGATGTCTGAAGATGTTGCACCACTAAAAGCATTTGTCTCTGATTGCTGCAGTTTTCTGGCAGGCTGATTTGGTTTCAGCCCAACATTAGAATTATTGAGTGTCTTCTCCTGCTGCTGGATAAGAGGCATAACTGTTTGGTTTTGCTGCAAGGATGAACTGCTGCTTTTACCACCCAGTGAAAGTTTTTGAGTAGCTGTCTCTGGAATGCGGTGCACGGCAACAAAAGGATTAATGGATTTAGTGGCAGGCACGACGGAGTTAACATGGGCCCCAGTTGAATTATGCAAGCTCCCAACCAAAGTGGAAGATCTCATTGCTGCCTTGTTTTGCTGCTGATTGGCTACCTTTGGTAGTTCCTGAGGATGTTTGTGCTGCTGCGAGTTAGCCATCTGCTGCGGCGCTGTAGATTTCTGCTGAGGACTGGCAGGCTGACTGGTGTGTGACTGCTGCTGCGGAAAGAAATATGAGAAGAATATTGCACATGCAAGAACCATTCAGATTTTGTAAAGCTATACTGTCAACATATTTCCTTTCTCATTTTAATCTGAACTTTAACAGTACATTGCAGTCTTTTTCAGCTTCAGACAATCACAGTTCTTACTTTAGAGCACTTAGGTCATCCACCAGTTGCTCCGAACCTGTGTCAATGAAAATACAAAAAATCCATCACTGTTCCTTGTGAAACAGATTGCAGTCTCAGCAAATCCAATAGCATATACAAGCAGGAAATGCATAAGGCTGTCGTCAGAAGTGCAACACAAACAGTCCAGCACTAGAAATGCAGCTCATCAGCAATCGAAGCAGCAGTAACAACAAATCAGTAGTTGCACATGTAATATTAAACTTTTTCAGCTCTACCCTGATATACCCACATACCGATATTTCATGCAGCATTGTTAGAGTTTTTCCCCCTCTTCTACTTTGAAGTTTGCACATAACTCGCAGGTTTATTGACAGGTAGTGCATGGCTGTTCAGGGGTCTAGCAAGCTGCCCATAGATCTGCCAATTGTAATGTATGAATGATCTTTCTATGCTGCAGCCTGGGCCTCTGACCAGTGGGTGTACAGCAAGCTGCCCATAGATCTGCCCATTGTACTGTATGATTGATCTTTCTATGCTCCAGCCTGGGCCTCTGACCCACAATGATCAACATTTGGGCCCCTGAGTGAACTTATTAAATAACCCTGCTGTAGTGTATACATTCCCAGCCAGATTAAACAGCCCTGCTGTAGTGTATACATTCCCAGCCAGGTTAAACAGCCCTGCTGTAGTGTATACGTTCCCAGCCAGATTAAACAGCCCTGCTGTAGTGTATACGTTCCCAGCCAGATTAAACAGCCCTGCTGTAGTGTATACCTTCCCAGCCAGATTAAATAACCCTGCTGTAGTGTATACGTTCCAAGCCAGATTAAACAGCCCTGCTGTAGTGTATACATTCCCAACCAGGTTAAATAGACCTGCTGTAGTGTATACGTTCCCAGCCAGATTAAACAGCCCTGCTGTAGTGTATACATTCCCAGCCAGATTAAACAGCCCTGCTGTAGTGTATACGTTCCCAGCCAGATTAAACAGCCCTGCTGTAGTGTATACCTTCCAAGCCAGATTAAACAGCCCTGCTGTAGTGTATACATTCCCAGCCAGATTAAACAGCCCTGCTGTAGTGTATACGTTCCCAGCCAGATTAAACAGCCCTGCTGTAGTGTATACCTTCCAAGCCAGATTAAACAGCCCTGCTGTAGTGTATACATTCCCAGCCAGATTAAACAGCCCTGCTGTAGTGTATACCTTCCAAGCCAGATTAAATAACCCTGCTGTAGTGTATACGTTCCAAGCCAGATTAAACAGCCCTGCTGTAGTGTATACGTTCCAAGCCAGATTAAATAACCCTGCTGTAGTGTATACGTTCCCAGCCAGATTAAACAGCCCTGCTGTAGTGTAAACGTTCCAAGCCAGATTAAACAGCCCTGCTGTAGTGTAAACGTTCCAAGCCAGATTAAACAGCCCTGCTGTAGTGTAAACGTTCCAAGCCAGATTAAACAGCCCTGCTGTAGTGTAAACGTTCCAAGCCAGATTAAACAGCCCTGCTGTAGTGTAAACATTCCAAGCCAGATTAAACAGCCCTGCTGTAGTGTAAACGTTCCAAGCCAGATTAAACAGCCCTGCTGTAGTGTATACCTTCCAAGCCAGATTAAACAGCCCTGCTGTAGTGTATACGTTCCCAGCCAGATTAAACAGCCCTGCTGTAGTGTATACGTTTTCAGCCAGGTAAGAAAGGGAGTGTGGGTCAGCTCTCCAACTCTGTAAACATAACTTTTGCTACAAAAACTGGCAGTAAAGGAAGCCAAGAATTCAAGAAAGGCTCAGAAATAAGATATATGTCTGAACAACCTTTAGTATCATTATCATGAGATAGTTTGCCCATCTGACGAGAGTGCCCTGGTACCAAATGCTACAGAGACACAGCGCACAAATACAAGTGACAGAGGGCAAGGGGAAGACCCCACATAATATGGAATGACAGAATCAAGAACAGCCTTAAAGAAATAAAGATCAACTTATACAATGCACTGAAAAGAGCATATAGAAGATCCTTACACCACAACAAACACTCTGATGAACTAACCGGAGAAAGTCAAGAAGACAAACATACAGAGGGAGACCTGAAAACACAAGAAGAAGAAAATCAGAAAGAGAGAAATGACAATGGGTGTCATGAACTAAACTGCAGAAGATGCAGCACATGAGAGGATATTTAGTCTGGGTTAGCTGAGGACCTTACACTACCACCGGGAATTAAAGGCACATGAAGAATGGCACAATGTTATCAAAGTATCACACCGATTGTTCTCAACATAAGCGGGGCTTGCTAGTCACACTCACCATCACCACGCATTGTAAGCCCCTAGCCTCCCTACGGCAGAATATAAAACTCTCTATGGAACAATATATAACTCTCTATGGAACAATATAAAACTCTCTATGGAACAATATAAAACTCTCTACCACACACTATAAAACTCTCTATGGCACAATATAAAACTCTCTACCACACACTATAAAACTCTCTATGGCACAATATAAAACTCTCTACCACACACTATAAAACTCTCTATGGCACAATATAAAACTCTCTACCACACACTATAAAACTCTCTATGGCACAATATAAAACTCTCTACCACACACTATAAAACTCTCTATGGCACGATATAAAACTCTCTACCACACACTATAAAACTCTCTATGGCACAATATAAAACTCTCTACCACACACTATAAAACTCTCTATGGCACAATATAAAACTCTCTACCACACACTATAAAACTCTCTATGGCACAATATAAAACTCTCTACCACACACTATAAAACTCTCTATGGCACAATATAAAACTCTCTACCACACACTATAAAACTCTCTATGGCACAATATAAAACTCTCTACCACACACTATAAAACTCTCTATGGCACAATATAAAACTCTCTACCACACAATATAAAACTCTCTATGGCACAATATAAAACTCTCTACCACACACTATAAAACTCTCTATGGCACAATATAAAACTCTCTACCACACAATATAAAACTCTCTATGGCACAATATAAAACTCTCTACCACACACTATAAAACTCTCTATGGCACAATATAAAACTCTCTACCACACACTATAAAACTCTCTATGGCACAATATAAAACTCTCTACCACACACTATAAAACTCTCTATGGCACAATATAAAACTCTCTACCACACACTATAAAACTCTCTATGGCACAATATAAAACTATCATGTGGAAAGACAGCAAAGTGCTAACAAATATGCCAGTAAGACATGTTGTAGGGTTGGCCAGACTACCTAATTTTTCCTGCAGAAAATGTCAGCTGCAAAACCAATGCTGAATGTGGAATTAAGAATCGATATCGTATCACAGCACTTGGTGCAAAATCAACAAATTACTTCAAATGGGTCACTAAATGGCTGATCTGTGGAGTGATAGAAGGCAGAATACTATACTATCAAAAGTTAGGGTTTGTTACATGATATAACGTTTATACTCAGCCTCCATAAATCTGCACCCAAATGAATTCTTATGCGTTTGCCCTAAAAAGGATGGTTGGCTAATTGAGTTGCCGTTTATAGCTAGGCTGTGATAAATGTGCTTTTTTGGTCCACCAGATATATTGTGTGCTAAACTCACAGTGCTGTTTAATTGTCAGAAGCGTGATCGCCCACGAAAGTCGTAAAGACGCTAGATGATGTTGGTAGAGGCGAGTGCAAAAAGTCCACTCGGCTTTAAATTGTGAGACAAGTGTTTCTCTAGATTATTGGGAGACAGCGGCTTCACGGGTATTACAAGCGCAAGCGTGGCTAGTCAGTGCCCCTCAGTCTGGGAGAGAGTTCAGACGTGTGTGACTTTTAGGCTGGTGAAAGTTTAAACTGTCCCTTAGAATGTGGTGTATAATTCGAAATACTCCAGTTGAGTATATAATGGGGACAAGGCGTGGAGAGCCCAACACTTTATATTATCCTATTACAAGGACGTGATTGTTCCTGTCGGGTTCTCCCTTGCTGGCAGACTTGGTGTACCAGCGGCAGGGTCTCTGGTCAGTTCGGTGATAGGATTTCTGAATGCGACAGCATGTGGTGGAGGCGCACTGACGTTGGCACAGCGTCTAGTGGTCAGTTATTATGTATAAGATATGCTATTAGTGACCTAAAGTGTGGGGACATAACTGAGGCGTTTATTAAAGGCTATTGGTGAACCCAGGAGGGGGCCCATGGGCAAAGGTGTTGATGTTGTGGACTCACGTCAGTCAAGTCGAGGCTAGGTGTCGCCCTTTGAGGTGATGCCGACTTGGAAGTATACTAATGGGTATCTGGGGAGTATTAGACGGATTAGTTCTGTAATCACCAATTCATCTTTGTCGCCTTGAGTTCGTCAATAAAGAGACTGATGTGCTATTCTATGGGTGACTTTTAACGTATTGTTGTTGACACTGTTATCAGCGTTGGTGGAACGATGTGACTATGTGTAACTGTGTTATCTAAGCACTCTCCGATAGGAAAACTTGCATGTATATATATGGGTGAAGCTAGATACTTTGCTAGATATGCGTCCATACCCCGGTCAGCACACAATAAGACAATTTCAGCATTTACTGTTTTGTACGATTTGCTTGTCGGGGGAGAGGGGACACCAGCTGGTCTATTCTTTTTCCTCTAAAATGGGATCCTAGAAAGCATATGGAGAAGCTAAACTAAAAAACTGTGTCTAAATACTTACTATAACACTCCCAGAAGTTCCAGAGCTTGGCAGGACAGCTGAAGACACTGCTGGAGCTAAAGACTTTGCTGCAATACTTTTTGACCCTGGCACCGGGATAGGGACTACCCGTTTCACGGCTGTGACCGGAGAGCTGTCGACAGTTTTCTGTGTTAAAGCTGTAGCACCTGGCACAGGAAGTTGGGTCACAGGTGTCGAGGCCATGGGTGCTTTGAAAGACTGTTTTGTCACATGACCAATGGAGGGTGTTAAAGGTGTAGAATGAGATGATGTGTTGGCAGATACTAGCGTACCTTGTGCCAAAACGGGCACTTTGGGGCCAGATGAATTAATAACTGAATTGTTTTTCTCGTCATCACTTTCTACGGTACTGGAAATCTCAATAACATCCTCAGTTTTTGACATGTGCATAGGTGTATTTTCAACTTGCAATGAAGATACATCAACAGGAGCTGCAGATTTCCTTGGCTTAACTCTGGAGAACAAATATCATCAAAGGATTATGTATCATAAGTTACACGGTTTACCAGCTAGTAATTCTTGAAATTGAACCAACACAGAGCTTACCTTCTCGAAGATATTTCCCTCACCAATGCATTGCAAAGTCAGATTTATTCTGATTAGATAATTAGCTTACATAAACATCTCCCGTGAGTATGTCCCACATATTTTCACTGAACTTCTTTATTCACAAACTGTTAACTTCATTATATCAAACAATAGCAGATATATATGATAACATTCGATTGCCAAATTAACAACAGAAGCTCAATGTAACAGTCCCCTGTGAAACAAAACCAAAAAAAATACATGCGACTTTCTTTCCTTGTCAAACAGACACACATGGTAATTTTGCTTTGCTAAACACACACACAGACACACACACTTAGAAACCTTCCCATGTCAAACAAATACATGCGCGCACGCAAACATATGCAGATGGTAACCTTCCCTTGACAAACAAACACACACATACATGTGGTAACTTTCCCTTGTCAAACAAACACACATACATAGTAACTTTCCCTTGTCAAACAAACACACATACATAGTAACTTTCCCTTGTCAAACAAACACACATACATAGTAACTTTCCCTTGTCAAACAAACACACATACATAGTAACTTTCCCTTGTCAAAGAAACACACATACATAGTAACTTTCCCTTGTCAAACAAACACACATACATAGTAACTTTTCCTTGTCAAGCAAACACACATACATAGTAACTTTCCCTTGTCAAACAAACACACATACATAGTAACTTTCCCTTGTCAAACAAACACACATACATAGTAACTTTCCCTTGTCAAACAAACACACACACATGTGGTAACTTTCCCTTGTCAAACAAACACACATACATAGTAACTTTCCCTTGTTAAACAAACACACATACATAGTAACTTTTCCTTGTCAAACAAACACACATACATAGTAACTTTCCCTTGTCAAACAAACACACACACATGTGGTAATTTTCCCTTGTCAAACAAACACACATACATAGTAACTTTCCCTTGTCAAACAAACACACATACATAGTAACTTTCCCTTGTCAAACAAACACACATACATAGTAACTTCTCCTTGTCAAACAATCACACACACATGTGGTAACTTTTCCTTGTCAAACAAACACACATACATAGTAACTTCTCCTTGTCAAACAAACACAAACAGACAGATACACTTACGGCTGCAATGATCCCTTGGTGAGATCTTCGTGAGCTTTCTTGCTCTCCTTGAACAGCATCCTGTAGACCAATAAAGGGACAATACTCACACTGTATCAATGTCCTTTGATTATCAAAAGTGGCAAATCAGCTCTGCTGTGTTCCAGTTCTGATGGTTCCTGTAGCAAAGTCTGTATGTCCGTGTTCCAGTAGCAAAGTCTGTATGTCTGTGTTCCAGTAGCAAAGTCTGTATGTCTGTGTTCCAGTAGCAAAGTCTGTATGTCTGTGTTCCAGTAGCAAAGTCTGTATGTCCGTGTTCCAGTAGCAAGTCTGTATGTCCGTGTTTCAGTAGCAAAGTCTGTATGTCCGTGTTCCATTACCTCTGCATGTTGACTGTTGGTCAAATCCCCTGACAACCCCTTCCTTTCCAGAGTAATATCTATTTGTGATTCACACTGTTCGCTTGCTCCCAAACGGCCTTGAACATTTCTAGCTTGTCATGCATAAATTTACCACCAAGTGGAGCAGAACCAGCCAGTCTCTCTGCCTGTTCATTTCCTACCATACCTGCAGTCCCTGGAGAAAAAAAATATCCAAAGGACACAAACTACCAAGTACCTCTGGAGCGATGCTTGCCACTTTGTTCACAGCATGTCTGTCTCCACCTTTCTCAGTATACATTGTGAGCCTGTTAAAACCACAACAATCAAAACACTTATAACAGCCGGTAGCAGAGAACATGTCAAAGATGATGCAACAGTTAGAAACTTACCGTGTCTGTATCCATCCTTGTGGCCATATAGGTTTTATTTCTGAATCCAAAAATGCTTTCAGATACTCCTCGGCAGTTTGATTTCGTGATTTGCTTGTGCTGAAGAGCTTCATCTTTGTTGATACAATGTCTAGTAACAAATCCCTGTCCAAAAAATAAATATTACATTATGAAGTGGTCCCATTTGTTAAATATGAGGCTCTGATAAAAAACAATTTACTAACGCTCACCATGTCTTTGCAGAGAAACATGTAAATAATCATTTCAACAAACCAGATAGTCTTCTTCAACTTAAAAAGGGTGGTTGACTTGTTTAGTAGTTTGCAGCTAGGCTGCGACATCTGCATCTTTTGGAGCAACGCCTCTAATTTCAGCGACCCCCAAATTATTTGCATTTTACAACATGCTTGCTGGGAGACAGGGAGTGTGCAAGTGAAGCTCCTGAACCCTAGACAAACTAGCTATTCTACACCTTCCTTTACCATAATGACCGGGGGTTGTCACCATTTGTTTCAACAACAACAAAGTTTACTATTTTTATTTGGTTCGTTGTTCCTGAAGATCTTATCTTGAAATCACAGCAGCGACCAGATTTCTTTTAGAATACATAAATAATCATGTATAGTCTAGCGCCCTTAAAATAAATCTAGCCATGTATGTCCTAACGACACAAACATATTTTATCACAGAGCAAGGTGAAGGGCAACAGGAAGTTACTCCCAGATGGAAAGAAGATGCTAAACTGCACCTTCAAGGTGTGAACAAGAGAAAAGATCTATTTTGGACAATCTCTGGTGTGAAGATTGCAATTGAGTAATAGAAGGATACAAGAAATCACTGAACAAGACACAAGAGAGACCGAAATAAAAGGCTAACACAGACAACAAATGCTTGCAGAAGTTGGATGTGTCGACCAAAAGTTGCAAATATCACAGCCATGTTGTAAATGGACACAGTGTATTTACATCTTCTGATGAACACAGAAGAAAAATAATTAATAAAGCTACACAATGAAAGAAACGAATATGCTTATAGTTGACACTTCCCTTCTTTGCAAGAAGGTTCAAGCTTTGCAACAAGGCTCAAGACTTTGCAACAAGGCTCAAACTTTGCAAGAAGGCTCAAGCTTTGCAACAAGGCTCAAACTTTGCAAGAAGGTTCAAACTTTGCAACAAGGCTCAAGACTTTGCAACAAGGCTCAAACTTTGCAAGAAGGCTCAAGCTTTGCAACAAGGTTCAAACTTTGCAACAAGACTCAAGACTCACCTAATTTCTGAAGTCCACTGAAATTTCCGTCTTGGCCCTCTAGGTTTCTTTTTGTTCTCAGTTTTTTCCTCTTCTTCACTTTCTGTAGAAGCTTCCTCCTTCACGTCTGCTACGCCTTCCTTAAGCTCAGATTCATTTCTGTAAACATTTGTGATAAGGGAAAAAGTATTAAGACAGTGTTTAGCTCAGATTCATTTCTGTTATATTTTGTGATACGAGAAAAATGTATCAAGGTGATCTTTCACCGCTGATGTCTATAGACAGCTGAATTGCAGATTTTCACTGGTGCTTCAATAGAAGCATAGAATAGCAGCACTGTAAATCTTTCTATTTGTCCGTGTTTGTGACTTTGACATTGCAAATATGCTTTACTATTCTTAAATACCCAGTTCTATTCTAGCTACGATCAATTTAGCAAAATAAAGCTTTGCATTTATTATGAAGATATCATTCAGAAAACCATGGCACACTACCAAATACAAAAATGGCTAGTATAATCACAAGAAGCCGAAAATGCTGGGTTTGGCTGTGTAAACTCCTGTAAAGCAAGCACATGGAACTAACTTTTAACCCACCAGGCATACCATCAGATGAGACCCACCAGGCATACCATCAAATGAGACCCACCAGGCATACCATCAGATGAGACCCACCAGGCATACCATCAAATGAGACCCACCAGGCATACCATCAAATGAGACCCACCAGGCATACCATCAGATGAGACTAAGGAGTTTGACACAGGAATGCTATCCAGTCCAGCAGACAATGTACAACTGAAATCATTATAAATGTTTAATAATGTCTAGACTGTCAGAATAGAAGGACTCTAAGGGTATCAGAAATGACTAGACTGTCAGAATAGAAGGACTCTAAGGGTATCAGAAATGACTAGACTGTCAGAATAGAAGGACTCTAAGGGTATCAGAAATGTCTAGACTGTCAGAATAGAAGGACTCTAAGGGTATCAGAAATGACTAGACTGTCAGAATAGAAGGACTCTAAGGGTATCAGAAATGACTAGACTGTCAGAATAGAAGGACTCTAAGGGTATCAGAATAGAAGGACTCTAAGGGTATCAGAATAGAAGGACTCTAAGGGTATCAGAATCACTAATCATCAGCTTAGGGAGAGAAAGGGAATCAAAGTCAGAAATAGGTCATATATTTAGAAAATCTGACAATAATATAATTAGAATAATCGTTGACTGGACCCTCACAGCAAAACAGAGACTTAAGAACACAAGGAGAACAGAATTAAAAGTCAGAAATCATAAAGACGGGACACGGGGGAATCTAGAAAGCAGAAAAGTGGAATAGGAACAATTATACTATTATCAAAACTCAAATCTTTGCTGTACACCTCACATTTATCTAGACAACCTTAATGACACAGTTTTAAAAAAAAAAATCAAGATTATGCAATTAAACGGAGGAATGAAGAACTGAAAAAACGGAAACAAAATGCATAAGACAAATCTTAAATTTAATAAGTAAAGGAAATCTCTGGAAAGAAAATTCCAACTCTGTGCTACCAGTGCCAGACATGGTCCCTCACAACAAACCATAAAAGAAAATTAGTAACCACGGAAATGAGATGTCTGAGAAGGGCTGTAGGGGTGACCATAAGAGATAAGATCAGGAATGAGATCATAAGAGAACAAGTCGGCACAGAACCAATTCTGGATTACATACAAAGACAGCAAGTGAAATGGTTTGCCCACTTAGAGAGAATGCCTTGTGACACCATACCATACAAAGCATACATGGAAAAAGAAGAAGGACGTAGAGCACGGGGTAGACCAAGAACAAGATGGAAGGATAACATCAGAGAAACTCTACAACAGCACGATGTGCCTATGGTCGAGGCAGCCAGAAGAGCTAGAAACAGAACCTTATATCTCCCTCGACACCCACAGCGGTAAAAGAGGAAGTGAAGAAGAAGAAGAAGAAGAAGAAAGGAAATCAAAAAGATGATGTCAAGAGACAAGAGTGGATGGCACCCCATGATTGGGAGAAGACAAGACTAAATAAGTTAGTTTTTTTTTTTTTAAAGAAAAAAGGAAGGAAAAAAAGCAAGCAAGCAAGAACGAAGAAGACACAGCAAAGAAAAATGATTAAACAAAAAATAAACTGTTCATTTCTTGTGAATTTCTAGAGGTTGAAGAAGAAGAAAAAAGGCACACTTGAACATACTTAGCTCTCTGCACCTCCAACTCGTGCTGCTCCTCCAGGCCTGGCATCACCTTCATGACAGCTGCCCAAAAATAAACAACAATCAAAAAAATCCAAACTCTACAGAAGAAAACAACTAACAACATTGTTACACAGCTGCTAAGTCTGTCCTTTTTGACCACAGATACAAGATAATTGCCAATGTAGTTGCCATACATGTATTGTGTGGGATCATAAGGTGATTTAACATCTACAGCAACTAGTAAAGGGATTTAATTAAAACAGAGAAGAAAAAGTCCAACCTGCAATCCTAAAAGGTGGAAAATAAGGGAAAATATAGCCGTGTTACAAGCAAGTTTTGAAAAAAGGAGGGTAAGGTGGCTTCACTCCCAAGAAACACATCAAGTGTTGATTTATTTACAAATGTAACTCTGGTGCACAAACCTATTATGATGCCAGACTGTAGCTCCAGCAAACATTGCTCAATACACCACCACCACCACTTCTTCACTTTTTCCGGCTGTAAACTGAGGCAGAAAGTTGGTTGTTCATCCACGTCTGGACTTCTGCCCTGTTCCAAAACTTGAGTTTTGCATGCACATCCATTTTACAGATTTGGCTTATGTGTGTGCAGACTGCTGGTTTCTTGCATCCCAAGTAGATGCACTCTGACTTCAAAGAAAGCACTCTTAATTAGTCTACTTTTATGACATGCTTGTTAGGGGTGCAATGGATCTATTCTTTGTCTGCCCCAACAATGGAGCCCCAAAATCCGCACGGGAAGGTTGAAAACATGCCTGATGTGAGATCTTCGAGTTTTACAAAATATGAACGAAGGATGGAAGACTCCAAACTGAGTAATTCTTCTCCTTCTTCATGTTCGCCAGCTGTAAACTCCAGTGAAAAGTTCTGTTTGTTCTAGACTAGTCCTGTTCCAGAACCTAAGTGTTGTGTGTACATCCGTTTCACAGGTCTGACTCATTTGCATGTAGACTGTTTGTTCCTTACCTCTCAGGCAGATGTACTCCTCCGACTTCAAAGGAAGCTCCCAATTAGTCGACTCTCACAAAATGCTTTTTGGGCAGGCAGTGGGTTTATTCTTGCCCCCCCCCCCCCCCCACCACCACAATGGGGCCCCGGGACCCACACGGGGGACTGAGTAATTGATTTGGAGCCTTGTCAGACATGGAAGATCCATACGCACATTACACATATTAAAATTCCTCATCCGTCACTGGAAATCAAAATAAGCAGGTCAAATAAGCCTCTGCTCAGGTTAAATTTACAAATTTAAAAACCTACCAGAAAACTGGGGAAAGGGGGGGGTTTAGAAAATGATGATAATAAGGAAAATATCAATGAGGAAAGGCAGACGGAAAATGTTGACAGAAAAGCGGGTTGGCAGGAAACATAAAAACAACAAAGTAGGTGGAGGAAAAAGCTCTCAAGTAAAGCGGTAGAAACCCAGTTAAATACCAGTAGCCTACTCACTAATGTTACCACCCGCCAATATGACCCACCAAGGTGACCCACCAAGGTGACCCACTAAAGTAACCCACCTTCTTTGAGTTTCTGCATGGGTAGCTTGAGTTGTCCCTCCTGCTGGGATTCCCTGAGTTTTTTCGCCCGTCGCTGAAGAGCATTCTTTCCACAAGGTAAGTGCTCCCCCAGGTGACCGTATATGGCTGTCCGACTTCCCCATGGCAAGTTACGAGACCCGAGTTCAATACTGAAATTAAAGGATACATAATGTGTTCATCTGTATTTTTTTTGGCTTGGTAACAAATACTGGTGCAGTTTAAATAAAGAAGAAGGAAAACAATTAAGTAAAGGTGAAATATGGAGAAAGCAATGAAGGAAAGGTGAGGTAGGGAGAAAGCAATAGAGGAAAGGTAAAAAAGAGGAGAAAAGAATGAAGGAAAGGTAAGAAAGGAGAAAAGAATGAACAAAAGGTGAGATATGGAGAAAAGAATGAAGGAAGGAGATGTAATCAATAATGACAATGCTACTGAAGTCAACCAGAGCTTCACACAGACAAAAATGTTAGAAATTGTTAGAAAATGCAAACAAATAAAACAAGCCACATCAAATACTCTTGATACCAAATGCTCAACAACAACAAAATAGTCTAGACATAAACTATTCAATCATATATTTTTTCTTTTTCTGCTTTTGCAGAAAGGCTAGTTGCTGCGTTGTGCTGTGGTTCACAGACAGGCTGTGATATCTACATCCTTCAGCCGAACAAGACCAGCACTGAATAAAATTGGTACCAGGTAAAGTCCTGGAAAGTAAAGGCGGATGCCAGAATGCTGACCACATCTCCGATCCAGTGTCGATTGCTCTATAAAAATATGAGTCTAGAATGATGAAAAAACGTCATTTACTTGACAATATAAACAGACAAACAAGAAACTCACTCCAAGAGAAGCTTGTTGACTCCATCAGAGAAGAATCGCAGCTTCTTTTCTTTATTTTCCTTGGCTTCCTGGATGTAAAGAAATGGTTTAACAGTTAACTT